CCTCTCCCCTCCATCCCCCCAGCCTCTCCCCTCTATCCTTCCCATCTCTCCTCTCCATCTACCCCCCCCCCAAGTCTCTCCGCTCTATCCTCTCGGGCCTCTCCTCTCCCCTCCATCGTCCCAGGCCTCTCCCCACCACTCCCCTCCATCCCCCGAGGCCACTCCTGTCCTCTCACCTCTATCCTCCCGTCTGATGTACAGGTACAGATGAGATCAGCCCCAAAGTGCTGCAGGCCCTGGGCTCTGAGCCTATCCAGGTGAGACCTGCCTGCAGCCACAGTTCCGCTGCTCAGAGGCTGGGGGTAGAGGGTCATCAGTGAATGGGCAGAGGACAAGAAGGCTGTCACTGCTGCCCCTCATCCCTCCCTTGTGTCTCTCTCAGTACGCAGTACCTGTGGTGAAATATGACCGCAAGGGCTACAAGCCTCGCTCCCGGCAGCTGCTGCTGACGCCTAATGCCATCATCATCGTGGAGGACACCAAAGTCAAACAGAGAATCGATTACGCCAACCTGACCGGTGAGCCCCAGTTCAGGACTATGGAGGGAGGGCCCAGCCCTGGCCCTTGACCCCTGACCTATGTCCTCCCTCCTCAGGGATCTCTGTCAGCAGCCTGAGTGACAGCCTCTTTGTGCTTCATGTGCAGCGTGAGGACAATAAGCAGAAGGTGCCGTTTTGAGGATGGGAGGCCGGGTGTGGGTAGAGTCCTTCATTTTGGCTCTGGGCAGAGCCTGACCACCTCTCGATTTGGGCACCCCAGGGGGATGTGGTGTTGCAGAGTGACCACGTGATTGAGACACTGACCAAGACAGCCCTCAGCGCCGATCGTGTGAACAACATCAACATCAACCAGGGCAGGTGAAGCATGTAGGGACAAGGAATAGTGTACTGTGGGCACATGGGGCAGGGAAGGGCCCGTCCCGGGGGCTCTGTCCCTGGGAAAAATCCTCACACACTCCCTTCCCTGTAGCATCACATTTGCAGGGGGCCCCGGCAGAGACGGGATCATTGACTTCACACCTGGCTCGGAGCTGCTCATTGCCAAGGCCAAGAATGGGCACCTGGCTGTGGTGAGTGCCGCTTGCCCGCTAACAGCGCGAGGACCCAGAGGGCCCCTCGTTCATGAGTCTCAATTGTGAGGGCTCCCCACACTGTCTACCCACGAGAGCCAGAGAGGATCTGACCTTCAGTATACAGAGGGCTATAAAGATGGCCGTATAAGTAGGTGGGAAAGACCCAGAGAGATGGGAGGGGTGTGGGATAGAGGTGGTATCCACTCTGGTTAATCAGAGCACCCCAGGACTGAGGACACTGGTCCCCACGTCCCTGCTGCATCTAACCTGTGAACATCTCCTGTTTACTTCCCACTCACCACCTGGGTTTCTCTCCCTCTGCCTCCCAGGTGGCCCCACGGCTGAATTCTCGGTGATGAAGGTGCCTACTGGACCCCCTCCATCCCCGATGCTTTGCTTATCCCCTCCCCCTTCCCAGTTACCAAAGACTCGAGCTTCCAGACAGGGATCCAGGGACACCTCGAAGCCCACCTGCAAACTCCTGCCTTCTGCTCACCCCCCACTTCGCAGGGGCATCAGAGGGCCAAGGAGCTACCCCAGGAGTGGGCCAGGCCGGGCCACAGCAATAGGAAAGCCGGGGCCTGGACAAGCTCTGCCAGCCCCACTGCTGATGCCAAATATTTGAGAGAAGGGAACTTTTGCTGAAGTTTTCTGTGAGATTTTTTGATGCTTTATAGGAAACTATTTTTTAAAAAAGCCATTTTCCCACCCCAAGACATACTGGATGTGTTCTCCTTGATTCCAACCAGGCAGGGTATGCAGCTGAGAGGTACGGAGGCGGGCCGGGCTCTGGTGCCCCCTTCCCTGCCCAGGCCACCCTCTTCTCCTCGTTCCCTTTGACACCTTGTCTGTCTGCCTGCCTGCCCGCCCTCCCACCTACACCCTTTGCAGCCCACTCGGACCTCCTTCTGAAGGCTGAGACCACCCTTGCCTGTTCTCTTCCTGCCTTAAGAACGCCCTTTTAATATTTTCAACCTAGCCTGGGGGGGTGGGGTCCTGAAGTAGGAAAAGTTGTCTTCCCATAGAATGTGGTAGACTCAGAGAAATCATCTAATCCAATGCCTCAGGGTTATAGAGCAGGAAACCCAAGGCCAAGGAGGAGAAGGTATTTGCCCAAGGTCATACAGTAGGTTAGGGCAAACCAGAACTGCAGTCCTGTCCACAGCACACCTCACTGCCTCTCCCAGGGACAGGGGGCCCCATAAAAATGGGCCGTGTCTCAAGTGTGCATCTGACTCCCTGACCAGCAATCAACCTTGGGGACGTCAGGTGGAGGAGCACTTCTACCTGAGATCATGCCTTAGGAAGACACCACCCTTCCCTCACACCGGGCCTCAAGTGGAGGACAAGGGCTTTGCCTGGCCCCCACAGCTCCTCCCTGGCCTGGGAGCCTGGGGAATCGACGCCTTGGGAGGAGCTGCAAGGGCCTCACTTCTTTGTGCTGCTTCCACCCCAGAGGGCCTGGGGGCTGTCCGGCTGCCGTTGTGCCCTCCTGGGGGCCTCGGCCCACTGCTGACATTTCTGCAATCCAGAAAAACACTAAATAAAGCAATACGTGTTTGCCAACATTGGTGTCCTCATGGATGTTAAGAAAGGGAGAGGGCCCTAGAAGGCAATCACACCGGTCCAGTGCTCATGTCTCCTGCGGCCCCATGACTGTCAGCATTCTGGGCTTCCAGAGGGTTTTCAGTGACTAACGGGGTCCTGCTTCCCACGTCCCACTGGATGGATTATCACTGCCTGTTGGCTAATAGCTGAGAATTTTGCAATTTTGGGGTTATGTGTTATGCTGCTAAACTAAAGGTCAGTGGTTTGAACCCACCAGTTGTGCAGGAAGAAGATGGGCTCTCTCCTCCTGTAAGATTTATAGCATTGAAACCCGGATGGAAGATTACTAAGAATGTCAGTCAGCCTGACAGCATTGGGTATGGGGTTTTTAGGGACTCTCGAAGGCAGCTGGGGAGCAGGGGTGGAGTAGTCTATAAGGTGTTGTGTTACTGACCATAAGATTGCTTGTCCAACAGTTCTGACGCCCCCAGCTGCTCTGAGGGAGAAAGGTGGGTGGTCTCCTCGGTTATGATTTACAGCCTCAGAACTCTGACAAAGGGTCACTATGAGTCAGAACTAACTAGATGGCTGTGAGGCCACCAAAGGCTTTGTATTCCAATTGGGCCTTGTCCCCAGGTCAGGTGTAGCCTGAGCAAGGCTAGCAGGAGTGATCCATAACTGCCCTTGGAAGTCACCCTTCTTCTGGAGGCTGCCCAGTCTGGCACAGTGCCGTGGGCTACATGACCCGCAGTCCCTGCCCACGTGTTCCTCAGCTGGATAGACAGGACGGGGGACACAGACAGTCCAGTGTGAGTCGCTAAGGCACTATGAGGTGTCCTGATGAGACTCCTCCTGGGTGTGAGGGATAATAAGCCTTTCATAGAGAAGACATTTGAGATGGGTCTCAAACGTTGGTCTGCTAGTCCAAATTCTGTTGCAAGCAACAAATCCAATCCAAACTGGTTTGGGGATATACCACACACCCCTATGGCTGTCATGTTGATTCTATTCCATAGCAGTCCTGCTTGTGCTAGAGAAGAACTTTTCTGTGGGGTTCTCAATGGCTTCCATGGCACATCTGAGAGGATTCAAACCTACAATCTGTTGGTTGGCAGCTGAGTAGTTTCACTATAAGCACCACCCAGCATGGCCAGAAATAGGTGTTTATTACCATTAGTAATTTAATAGTCTCAGAGGAGAGCTGTTTCAGACACACCATTCTTTTTTAATTTTTTTTTTCATTTTCTTTTATTATTTTGTGTGTGCACTGTCAAATCAGATCTGACTGGTACAGGAGGAGATTGTCCCTCCTTCTCCAGCAGAGCATCTGGTGGATTTGAACCGTGTACCTCTGGGATTGTGGTGCAGCTTCTTGCCACTAGGCCACCAGAGCTCCCAGACACATAATTCTTCAGCTGGCCCTTCCTCCTTAGGGGCTTCATTCTACTCATGATGTGGGGGCAGTCACAGCCCCCAGCAGCCCCAGACTTTCATTCTCTGCCCTTAGCAATGGAGACTGGAAGAGGCAGACTAATTCAAGCAAGTCTCAGAGGTGGTTCTCAGTGAATTTGGGGTCAGGTGCAATTCTTTGGCCCAATGGTTGGGGTTAGAGATGAGAACATATTCCATTTGGCCAGACCTAGGTCATGTGTCTGCCTCCAGGCAGGAGTAGAGAGAGCTAAGCCCACCCTCAACGAAGAGGGATGAAAACCCCAAGGAAACTATGGTCTTGGAGTCAACTACATGAATTCTGACTCTAAATCTTATTTTTTTTTTCTTTTTCTTGTGTACTGTCAAATCAGATCTGACTGGCACTGGAGGAAACTGCCCCTCCTCCAGCTGAGTATCTGGTGGATTTGAACTGCATGCCTTCAGGATTGCAGTGCACCATCTTTGCCACTAGGCCACCAGAACTCCCTTCTAATTCTAAATCTTAATAGCAGAGTGCCTCATTTTTCTCCCACTGAATGGATGTTGGGTTTGAACTGCCAACCTTTCAGGTGCAACCCAATATTTTACCTACTCTGTTGCCTGACCTGGGCACAGGGAGGTGGTCACTGTTTTCCCAGAAGGAAAGGAGCTCTGCAAATGGTAACAATACAGCTCATCAGCAGACAGCCTGTTGCCATAGAACCCAACTCATGAGAATTTAATCTGTTGCAGAGCATAGTGGAGTCATACAGTTTGTTTTTGCCCTTTTTCTTTTTTTTAGAAGCATAGAAAAAAAATAACAACCATTTATTCTATCTAACGAATATACCATGGACCGCCAAGACAACAAACAGGTTCTTCCTGGAAAAGATGAAGCCAGGCTGCTACTTGGAGGCAAAGATTCTAAGTTCCGTTTGACATACTCTGGGCAGGTTACAAGGAGGGACCAGTTGTTGGAGAGGGATATCATGCTTGCGAGGGTAGAGGGACAGTGCAAGGCAGGATGGCTCACGATGAGATGGATTGAGTCAGTGACTGGGGTAATGGAGGTAGGTGTGTCAGAGACGATAAGGTTGGCTGTGGACAGAGCGGGGTTCAGAGCTGTTGTACATAGGGTCACTATGAGTTGCAAGCAACTCGACAGCACACAACAGCAACAACATTAATTCTGTAAGCGAGGAGTTTGAACAGAGTGCAGTGGGGAAGTTTTGCCTCTGCTCAAGATTCTGGGGCCCTAGCTGGGGAGACTTAAGTGGCTAGGATGGCAAGAATGTCCAAAGGCTGGAGTCCATAGAACTTGGTGGGAGCAACTTGCCAGATCTGTCTCCTGTGATGCTGCTGGCATAGGTTCAAATAACCGGTCCCTAGCCTGATGGTCCAGGACAGAGGAGATGTGCTTCTCAGGGACCTGCACATTTTTCTAAGAGGAAACGGTAGACAGAATGAATGATGCATGCAGAGGGAGGGAAAAAGGTTTAGGGGCCAGACCACCTGCCTGAGAAGGTTAGATGTCACCTAGGGCTGAAATTCTTAGTCACTGAGATGCTATGCAATGTATGACTATCTCAGACTTGTTACAACCCTGTGAGTATATCTAGATCTTAACATCTCCCTGAGTGCTCACCTCTGGAGTAATGAAAGCACCGCTGTAATTGCCCACTCGGGAGTGACAGCAGTTCCAAGAGGCTGACAGATAAGACAGGCATCAGTCAGGAGCAATTATCAGCTTTATAACTGTAACTGCCTCCTTTCCCTGTGCGTACTGGACTGTGGGTCACATGCATGACCCAGATGTTGGCAAAGGACACTCAGTCCTTTTGTGAAGTGACTGGGAATGATTTGTGTTCCCAGTTCAAGTCCTGAGAGAAGCTCACTGCCCACCCAGAAGGTATCTACACATTGTGGAAAGCTCGTCTTGGCTCTGGTGTTCATGTGTTTAAGCACTTGGCTGCTAGCTGAAAGCTTGGTGTTTCAGAATCATGCAGACACTCCGTGGAAGAAAGACCTGGCAATTTATCTTCAGAAAGATTAACCTTGCTGTATCAAGTCAATACTGGCTTATAAATGCCAGAGTATAACTGCCCCTAAGGGGTCTCAAAGATGTAGTTTTTTAAAAAAAATTATTATTGTTTTTGTGTGTGTACCATCAAATCAGATCTGATTGGTACAGGAGGAGAATGTCCCTCTTTCTCCAGCAGAGCATCTGGTGGATTTGAACTGCACACTTCTGGGATTGCAGGGCAGCTTCTTGCCAGTAGGCCACCAAAGCTCCCAAAGATGTAGTCGTGATGGAAGCAAACTGTCAAATCTTTTTCAGGTGGAATGTTTTGTGGGTTCACACTGTTAACTTTTCTTGTTAGCTGCAGGATGATTAACCGCTGTGTCAACCAGGGCTCCTATCTTTAAAGATTGTTATTGTTAGGTGCTACTAAGTCTAGTATGACTCATAACAACCCTATGAGCAATGGATCTAAGCCCAGTCCTCTCTTGTTGTTGTTGTTGTTGTTGCTAGGTGTCATTAAGTCAAGTGTAACTCATAGTGACCCTACAAACAACAGATCTGAACCCAGTCCTCTCTTGTGCCATCTTCTCATTTCCTGACACACTACAGCCTGTTGTGGCAGTTACCACATCAGTCCACCTTGTCGAAGGTCTTTCTCTCCTTCACCAGTCCTCTACCTGTCCGAGCATCATATCCCTCTCCTAGCAGTATGCCCAAGCATGTGAGGTGAAGCCTCATCATTCTTGCCTCCCCAGAGCACTCCAGCTTCACCCGCTCCAAGACATATCTGTTTGTTCTTTTGAAAGTCCATGGGATGTTTAGTGCTCTTCTCCAACACCATAGCTCAAAGGCATCAATTCTTCTTCTGGTATCATTTAATTGTCCAGTTCTCTGATGCACAGCAAGTGATTGGAAAGACCATGGCCTGACTCAGATGCACCGTAGTCCTTAGACTGACATCATCACTCTTCAATAATTTGGAG